ACCAGGCAGCCTTACTCACACCTGGTAGTACAGACTTAGGGACTGAGGGAGTTTGGGACCTACAGGACGAGGCAGCAGCTACATCATGAAGACATGGTAGCACCCAAAATGTGAGCTCAGTGGTCAAAGAAGGCTTCTGGCATCCTCTGCTAAAACAACAACCAGGGATGTCTCACGCGGTGAATGAATCAAGAATCAGAAGGTTGGAAAAATGAATCTATCATTTTGTGACTTGCAGCATGTAAGGAGCTGAAAGCAATTGTAGTTCCTGCTTGTCTTCTGTCATAGCCAAACATAAATTGATTGGAATTTGGTCATGTGTGGTCTGGGGAACAGCAATGTGTCTCACGCAAGAGGGCAGGCGGTAGAGAGGACATGGCTCAAATGCTGAACAAATGGCAGGAAAATATCCCCTCCCTAAACTTCATAAAATGGATTGTGAACAGACAGCAGTAAATCAGATACCCAGCCCCTCACCTCCACCCCAGCACGAACACTTCCTTAGAAACACCACTAGAAACCCCAGCACATTCAGACTTCAGGCTAAAAAAAGTAGAAAAATAAAACATCTGAAGTTGCCTAGAAATCTGATTTCAATAACCTCAAGCTGACACAGGTTTCTCAGCTTTTCATGACGAAGCTTTGCTTTGGAGCTAGTCACAAATGATAACCTTAGGCAAAGGTGTGGGATCTACAGGGTCAGACCCCAGTGAGTTAAAAAAAAAAACCACCACAGTTGGCAAAGTCCCCAGGTTCTGACCCCAAATACCAGCAACCAAGAAATACTGGACAAGAAACCCATACAGAGAGGGAGAAAGAACAAGACATTGCCTGCCTATACATGTAAGAACACTTTCTGCTTTAGATGTGAGTTTTCTCAAATCACCGCAGGAAAATGCTGCCGATGGTCATGTTTGTGAAGTTTTGCTGGAGACTAATTTTGTAACAGCGAAAGTATAAGCGTGCGATAATTGTTTGGAGCCCTCCAAAGCTGGTACATCAAACCAAAGGGCAGTATGGAGTGCTTCGTGTGCCCGGTCTCCTGGTTCCTTATTCCCCAACTCCTTTTCTTCATTCCTATCTACCTCAGCCCTTGCATCAATGCTTCAAAAATCTTTTTGACAAACATAATTCTTGTTTTCTATCCGAAGAGATGGCAAAGCCACCTGAAAGCGGGCCAAATAAGGGGAGGTGTGCCTAGATCTGACCCAAGGCTGCTGCTGCCACCAGGAAAAAGAGCTGTAAGTCAGTGCGAGCGGGGTGAGCAGGAGACACTGGCAGCTGGAAGGAGCCAGAGAAAAGGAAGTGGGATAGACAGAAAAAGAAACACTCACTGGCTGGAAAGAGCTTGGGAAGGCGGGGGGGGGAGGAGTACCCAGGTGCCAAAATATGCAATCGTAACCCCATGTATGAAAATGTAGTTTTTTAGCAAGAACACGGTAAGAATATATGGATGTTTACATGCAAGCAAATACACTGAATTCCAAAGAAACTGTTCCCAAGTGAGATTTTTTTAACTTCAAATTTCAGCAAATAATCATCCTCTATCCACAGACCAAAATTATCTTTTGAAGATTACAAAATAAGAGCCACATGTGCCTTTCTTAGCCAAGAAAGCATTACCTTCTTCTCAAGGTAACTCTCTTCATTAATTCATTAGTCTGCTCTTTTCATTAATTGCATCCCGATGAAGAAATCAAATAAATGAAGCAGACAGAAAAGAACGGACGCTTCTGAGGGAAGACTTGGTTTTAGGCAGGTCAGTGCTAGAGCAGGTGGTTTTACTTTATCACCTTGGCATACGTGCCCAGGCTGCCTCAAGTGACACTACGGAAGCTTTTCAACCTGTGGCTGCTCTGATATAAAGAGCAAAATCAAGCTGTACTAACAGCTCTACGTGGAGTTTCCTGCGTCCTTTTGAATATATGTAAGGGTAAGGAGGGATAAGGGCCAGGGCAAGGCAGGCAGAATAAGACCTTCTATTCGCTTTCTGTTTTGTAGAGAAAATAGCCAGAGCGTGGCTTCTATTTATAACCCCCAGAGTAGCCTATATAGCCCCATGAGGGCTACTTTATCACATCCCTCCCACCTAGCTCATCGCATAGCTGGACAACTTGCATCCAGAGGACACCAAGGCAAAAAAAAAAACCAAACCAAAACAAAACAAACAGAAAAAACCCAACAAAAACCACCACCCAAATCATTTAGTCCCCCAAGTCATCACACGAGGGAGATTTAAAGCCCTCTATTCCCTTGTGAAGCTCAGATGCCTACAGCGTTCCTCACGAGCACAGATGTACTACCAAGCTGAGCCTCAGAAGCCGCGTGGTAGCCTCTGGCGGCTTAGGATGCTGAAGTAACCAACAAGTGTCTTCCCAGGGGCTCAACACACGCTACGGGTGCCGTGACCTTCTCCAGCACACACTCAGAGCCCACAGCCACCCTCATTCAGATGACATTTAGTGCTGGTGGTTCCCCTCCTTCCTATACTACCATACATAGGCAGAGCATTTGCTAAGGTCAGCTACTACGTCCTAAGTCTAACTCGACTTTCAAATCGTTGGAACCCCCATCTCTGCCTCCCGAGAGGATGACTTCATCCCTAGAGCAGACACAAACAGCAGGCATTTTTCTCCCAGCCTGCCAATGCACATCTCTACAGTGGAAAAAATACGATTCTTTGAGTGTGACCTCTTGAAATTTTGAAAGAAAAGCACCAGATTCTTCAGTCATTTCTGGTTTTGAACCGACAACTGTTTGGTGTAAAACATAAAAGGCCTCATTTCCAGCTAAATTTCCAACCCCTTATGATGTAACCCTACTTGAAAGAGGTGGATGCATGTCTGGAGCCATATCAAACTCCATAAAATTCATTGTAATTGCCTCAAAATAGTCGATTTGCACCTCAGTTTTCTTGAGTGAGTTATACCATACCCAGCCTGCATGTTCTGAAATCCGAACAAAACAGTCAAAGGTGCACAAGAAATACAGGGACACATGAAAAAAAGAAATCACAAAGTTCATTTTTTTCTTAGAAATATATTTTGTAAGAAAACAATATTAACATTAAAAAGAAATGTTTATTATACAGTATAAAATAATTGCTTGAATTCAACTCAGTTCCTTATAAAAAAAAGCCTGAGGATTTGTATGAAGCCTCAATTCCTACAGATTTGAGTCTTTTGCCGTCTATGATTCCTACCGCATTAAAAGGCAGGTTTCCCCCACATCATCCTTAGAGCACCCAGACAAACACTCCTAAAACCTCCCTCATCCCTTCCCCAGCAAGCTGCTGTTCCCTGCCCAGGTGTACTCTAAACATCGCCCACAGTATTTGCAGCTCTCTCCTATGTCCCCCATACCCACCCTCACATTCCATCCACCCACCTCTTTTGGCCAAGCAACTACACAAGCGACAACACGTGTTGCAGCTAGCTAGGAGTCTCCCCGTGTTATTTTGTTGGCTAATACGAGCAGTGGCCAGCCACTGACAAATAATGTATAATGGCTGAGTTGTTCTCAGCTGTCTGTTCTCATAAAACCTGTAAGAATATCTCTTAACACTGCCATTCATCTGCCAAATCTGGCAGAAGCGTGCAGAGTTTTAAAAGCTAGAAGGGGAGACGAGGACAGGCAATGCAATGACCTAAGCTTCACTTTTTCAGGAAACTAAGCTAAAAAAGTCATTACTCAATTGCAGGATTTACAACTTGCAGATTTTGTTGTAGGAAAATACACCTGTTCAGTAACTATAAATACCCCTAATACTTTTCTGTGGCTTATTAGGTCTTATTTATTCATTTATTTAGGTAATGCCAGCTTTGTAATGTCAATTACCCTCCAGGTTTGAAAGGCACCCAGTGACCAGCATTCTGGTGTAATTATTCATGACATTGGTGTGATTCTCCCACTCCCAAATAATACTGACAAGTTTAACAGAAATCTATTAAGTTAAAAAGAACAAAGATATATATTACATTTGCTAATTGCAAACAACCTCTTTTAGCTGCAATTTTTCCCATTGGGATTAAAAAAGTGCACCAGTTTAACATGTCTGTACATTAAGAACAGTTTAAAACATTAAATATACAAACAGCAAGAGATTTTAAATATTTTGTATCAAATACTATAGGACAATATAATTTACATTTTTTTTTTTTTTACACAAAACATTACACCTGAAATATAACTTTAGATATTACAGAATATAAAAATACATACTTTTTGTCTAAAAAACATCTTTGCAGATTCTGGCACAATGTAATACTTTAAAGGCACACTGTATTTTGGCAATCTATATTTGCAATTAACTGTGCAACAATAATAAAAATGACCTGTAATTAACCTCTCAGAACTGCAAGGCCAGATCTCCCTTCTTCCTGGAATAGCCCTTTTAATCAGGTAAAAACTTAAGTTGAACCGTTTAGGTGTTCTGCAACTCATTGCTGCCACGGCCTGAGCTCTCCAACACTAATCCAGCAAAGCAAGAACAGGCTTAACTAAGCATGTGAAAAGCCACATCAAATGCAATGAGATTAGTCATACTTTCACAATCTGCCATCTCAGGGTCAGAATGCTCAACCCCAAGGAAAACTGAGCCCTAAATGCAAGTTGGGGGCCAAGTTCTGTCCTGCCTTATGTTTGCGCCAAAACTATTAAGAGTAGCGCAGGTTAAAGTCAGGGCAGAACTTGGAAACAGAAGTTCAGTAATATTAATTGCTCTGATTTCAACTACACCAACGAAAAAGTCATCATGACTCTACTGAAGCCAGTGGAGACATACAAAGTAAAACTGCTATAAGACTGAATCACGAGAACTATGAATTTTGCCCTTCTGTGCATTTGTGGGACTCCCACTGGAGTCAGCACAGGGCAAAAACGTGTCTTTAGAGATATATGGCTTATACAGATGCGATTGGGTTGCAAAAGATTTTCAGTTCTGTCTTCAAGTTGTTTCTGGACCACTAAAAACCCAAACAATTTTCAGCACACTAAAAGATTCAGTCTAAATCCCTTACTTTAAATGCCCCAAAATAAGTTGCTTCTTGTGATGAATCCAGTAGCAATGGGTTTGATACCTGGATACTTATCATTTCACCAGATTTTAATTTAAAAAACCCTCCTACATTGACAGAATAAAAATGAAATTCTGAATTCCCTGACCAGTATTTGGTGCTTCCTCCCTTCATCAACACATCAGAGCGCCTTATTTTAACGTTTGTCTTAGTCATATACACCATCAGCTGAAGCCCTCTTTTAGTCAGGTTTCCTGAAGTTTCATGATGTCTAAAACAAATGTTGGCATAAAGGTAGTAAAATCCATCTTGATTAACAATTAGCTTTCCATCCTTGAATGTCATATTTGATAAGTTTGCCTGGCCTTTGTCATGATGCCAGGATGTGAGGTTCACTTTGCGAGTTCCTGAGGAGAGGGAAAGAAAAAAAAATTATTTATAAATATATAACAAAACTCAACATTTAGAAAACAATCTCCAGGTTTTTAGAATCAATAGCAACTACAGTTATATAGGCTAAAGTGAATATTAGACAATTATGATAAAAATTTGTGAGAAATTTCCTTTTTTCATCATGTACTGCCATGTTTGGCTTGCTATTTATACCTGGCTGCCCTCCCACCAGAACAGCTGCTGGACCATGGTACAAAATATTTACTTGGCCAATAGTTTGATTATGCTAAGCAATCGTGCAACAAACTCTGTATAGAAATTGCGGTCCACCTAAAACTCTAAGTAACAAACACTTGAGAGGAATTTGAAAAGAAAAGTTACTAATGAAAAGACAGCAAATCTTGTTATCAGTCTTGAACCTGCAAGTGTTTGCAAGGAATAACTAAACAAAATCTGAAAACAAGTTAAACTGATAATTCCCCAAAGAGAAAGCGTATGAAACCCTCCCGTATGTTATGTTCTTGTGGCTGCAGTGGTACAAAGGTAAACATTTTCACTTGAGAACACCAAAAAAATGGGGGTAAAAAAAAAAATCGGTGCAATGGTGCATCTTTAGTACTACACAATAAGTTGCCTAGACTTTGGAGAGCACTTCAAGTATTTATGACATAACAAACCTTTTTATGCAAAAACAATGTTTAGACTTAACCCAGTGCTTGCATATACCAAAATATGGCTCCACAATCCGGTTAAGTCATATCCTAGATATCTAGAATAGCGGCCTACAGCACAATCCTAATTCTTTGATAATTGTACAAATACTTATAGCTGGGCAATTCTAGCTATTCAGAAGGTAAACTCAGATTCTTTGTCTAATATCTAGTGGAAGGTCTTGGAAAAAGACCTTTAGGAAGACAAATGTGATTCTGGATGCATTACTTTTTTTTTCCCCTTTTCTGATTTTTGTTTATTTATTTTAAGTTTATCTTAAGTTTCAAACTAGAAACAATGAGCTGATATTCCATACTTGGAGGAGAACAGTCCCCTTCAAGTTGTCTTATGCTGGAGATCTACAAATTAGAAAACTGTGATAATATTCTCTCTGCCTCTCCATAGAACATCATGCATGTGGGAATCAAAATACAGGTAAAACAGGTAACAAGTCTGACTACCAAAAAGGACAGATTAATAGAATTAATACATGTAAACAAGCATTACTGAATTCCTTCTAAGAGGTACACATAAGCATTTTCAGCTCTGCCTGCATGATGGTGGCCTGGTAAACAGGAAGCTGTCCCTTATCAGTTAAGGTGACTGAATGCTCTGTGAAGAGAACAAAAAGGAGCTGAGAGACTGGAGATGTTTTGATTAGTTTGTCAGCTCAGCACTGGCACTGAAAGCTAACTTCACATATACAGGTACAAATGTCCCCCAGAAATTCTGTCCCAAAAGGCATCTCCTGGGTGCTATCATCAAGTATCCACATTGTATCATCTCTTGGAGGTTTCAGGCTGGTCAAATCTCAGATGTCGTTTCATGTAGATTCTGGACATTAGGGAAAAGTTCTTTGGACATTAGGAAAAGGTTCTTCACCGAGAGAGTGGTTGGTCACTGGAACAGGCTCCCCAGGGAAGCAGTCATGCTACCGAGCCTGTCAGAGTTCAAGGAGCATCTGGACAACGCTCTTAGTCATGTGGTTTAGTTTTAGGTAGTCCTTTGCAGAGCAGGGAGTTGGACTCGATGATCCTGATGGGTCCTTTCCAACTCAAGATATTCTATAATTCTACTATTAAGGCTGTGCTAAGAGATGGCCTGGCCAGAGGTCAGACAGGCACTGAGAGAAAGCATTTGAGACTTCCTTCCAAACCTGGTCACATTTGACACTTCAGGTTGTTTTTGGTGGCACAGTGTTAAGAAGCAGCCTGCAACACCAGCCCAGATAGCATTGCTACTGCAGCACGTGTATTATGTAAAGGTTTATCACAGTATTTTCTGTTGAGGAGCATGCCCTGCAGCACACGTCCCACAGTCCCTTTCACCTCTCTAGCTTCACCACCATCCCATTATAGCACCCACCTCTCATCTCACAGCTTCTGCCTGCAAAAACAGAGGAACAGGCAACAGTGGGAGAAGATCATGCAGCCAAGGCCCACGGGCATGCCCACAGAGGGAACAGCACTGTCCTGAGAAAGCCACACAGGCCCTGATACACACAAGCCACTAACACTCTACCATTTATTCAGTGTAATACACAAGGCATAACACAACAGATAAGAGTTGGCCAACTTGTCCTCCTAATCACTAGCACCAGGACACAATACTAACTCCATTTGCTCCCTCTGAGGCACCCGCAGCAGTGGGTCCACACGGGCACCAGAAGACCTTACACTTTAGGCTCCCAGTGCATTTAAATGCCTGCTTGGAATATTTAGTACCTTATTTTCCCAACATCAAACCAAAACAACCTATTCCCACCAAAATTTCCATGGCATATGGCAGGGGCCAGTGCCCTCTCCTCCAAGCATGTTATCAAGGCATGCCCCAGAACCACCAGTGCTCACAAGCATGCTGGGGAAAAGCCACAGGTATATTTGATTAGTTAAAAAGATGCCTCCTGGATTTGTTTGTGCAGAAAGACGTGAAGGGGAAGTAGGGCCAGGGGAATTTGAGAGCTATGAGTCTTCTCTAACTGCCAAGGGCAAGCAACTTCTGCATGTGAGAGGAATACTTTAATAGTAGTCCAGAACAAAAAGCTTCTGGCGTTCTTCCACAGACTTGAGCAAAGCACAGGCTGTCAAAGGCAGATCATAAATAGTTGCTCCCCTATGGGTACAGTGAGGTAGAAATTATACAAGCAAAATCATACAGAGAAGCCATCTTCTGTGCAGTGCCTCAAAAAAACTTTTGAAAACCATCAATTAATCGGAAACGACACTAAGATCTTAAGTCTCTTAGCCTGGAATTATTCAGCTGCAAGAGGTGCTGAGACAAGGGTACCAGAGTACAGCTCTGAAGCACTGGGGATAGCTGAGGAAGTTGTAGAACTTCTTGTGCACAGTGTTAAGTCTGCCAGAAATACTGCCCCAAGGAGGCTGGGTTACCTTCAAGATGAGGAGGATAGGCCAGAAATCACTGCTTGGATCAGAGGAGAGGCACATCAAAGATATGGGACAGGAACGTATACACATGGCGGAACAGAACAGCATGCTGGCATGATGTGACTGACTGGTGGCACCCTGGGTAGTTGCTAGGCAGATTTTCTTTAGCTGGCAAGTAAACTTTTTAGTTGCCAGTCTTAATCAAGTAGCAATTTTGAAGAAATCCTTAGTGGGAATGAATGACTGCTGAAGAAGGAGGAAGAGAGAAAATAGGTGCCACAGTCACTTGTAATTAAGATGTTGAAAAGGGCTCTGGGTGAAATTTGTTCACACTGTTTTGGTATTGAGGGGAATATGCATCATTCATCCATGGTCAGGTGGAGGGACAGGCCAAGAGATGATGGAAGATGACCCTATCTGTTTTGAGCACGGGATTAGCCTAGATAACTTCTGGAGGTCCCTTCCAACCTAAATTATAATGCTATGATTGCATTAACTGAGGCCAACGGGCATTTTGCCACAATTCAGAGCTTCAGAAGAGGCATACCACAGCCAGCAGCACAGCACAAAGATGCATTGGTAGGAGTTATGCCATGCAACCTTTAATGGAAGGAGTGAGCAGGCTCTCAGCACTTCTGGTGGTAATACACCCAAATTTGGAGACACCAAAACAATCAGTACCCCAAAACACAGGCAGAGGAGAAAACTGGAACATGCAAGTGCCAAATCAGCTGTCCATATATCAGAAACTAAAGCATAACCCAAGCCATGGGACAGTCAGAAATGCCGCAATACAGTGTCTTCTGTGACAAAATTTACTATGGAGCCATGAAAAAAATAGCACAAGGTAAGTCGTGTTGACAGAGAAGGAAGAGGCCAGAGAGATAATGAGTAAGATAACCTCCAGACATGGTAAAAAGCATTAAAAAAAGTCAAGATAATACACAGTTTTTCTGGTAACTGAAGACAAACCAAAACAATGTCTTGGATATTTGTGAGCATGAACTAAGACTGATAGAAATGAGGAACTAAGACTGATAGAAATGAGTTTGAATAAAATTAATTAGTAAGAAGAAAGATGATGGGGGGGAAACAGAGGAGAAAGTATTGATAATTTTTTGCATCCTAGCAGCTTTCAGGTATAAATAAAGCCTGAGGGAAGGACCAAAGCACTGTTTGCTCTGAAAAACTGTTTTGGAGGCAAAGGGCAGCTAAGCCAAACCTGTAGCTGTAAATAGCTCAGAATACTACTGTGTTTCTTTAGACAGCTAAAGGTATCAATTCACATCCCAAATGATATATTTAACATTCACATTTATTTCTGTTTGTGATTTTCTCCTTTAAACTGTGACTAATTTCTGTAATCAATTTATGAAACAAAATTCACTGTTTTCATTTAAAACCTAGGTAGCATTTATAGTGAGCTCTGGTAATAAGCAACCAGCAAGCATCCAGCTTTAACCTAAGACAGCAAGCCTAAAAAATACACACAACAAGCCAAACCACTACAGCTTCTGCAGCCAAATGACGGGTGGGGACACCAAGACCTGGGAAGGGTTGTCTTCCCCCTCCCTTGCGCTCCCCCCAGCTGTAAAAGTCCATTTGGGGCTTGATATTATTGTGAACCAGGCAAAAGGAAAATGTTCCCTCACAGACACTGCTCAGTGCCCCTTCATGAAGAGTGTTCAGTGGCAAACTAAGAATCCTCTTTGACAGTCATGAAGACTGATTTTTTTTTTTTCCCTGACATTGTTTATTTTGGGTCAGAGTAATGACAGTAGAGAACCTTAAAATACTAAGAACAGATCTGTCCAGACTCACGGATGGCATAAAACAATTTGGAAGGATTTCAGACACGTAGGGTAAGGAATCAGGGGAAGAAAACAGAAATTGCCATTTGCAGTCAGAGGAAACAGGATGGAAGAGAAAAATTCCTGGTGACCTTCAGGTAAATTCTTCATCCTTTATGCCTGTCTAACTTGTATGCCACCCAGCCAAGCAGGTGCTGCCTCATACCAATGAGCATGATACTAAAGTGCCTCACAACCAGTAGGTTCAGGGTTCCAGCTATCCATAAGGATGCAGACCCTCACTGCTGCAATGCCCACAAGGACCACTGAAGCTGTGTTCATGATTAACATCCTGGCAATACTTTTCCACAAGAGACAGAAGGCATATGTGCCAGATCAGGAGGGAGTATGTCCAACTCATCACATTGGTAAGGGGTTGATCTGCTCCAAGGAGAAACAAAGCAGCTTGTTGTCACAGACGCGGTATTTCTGAGAGTTCCTGCAGCCTGTGCTATTAAAAAAAAAAGTGAAGAGAGCAAGCAAGAGCAATGCCTCCCTTGCCATTATCCACAGATGTGCTACATCACTCCCTAGGTTAATGCAGTGATGCACAAGAGTACAAATTATCAGCTGCTAGCCCTGATAAAAATACAGTTCACAGCAACATCCAAGCAGACAGCAAATAAATTCTCCACAGGAAAAGGTGGATTTCACAAAGCATGACACTGACAGACTCCAATTCTGTAGCTATAAGTGATCTGTCTCTATGATTAGCAAATTAATTGAATCCTTCCAAAGACAAAATGCTAAGACAAGTTTCCTGATCCTGCATCTTCTACTATTGACCTATGTCAAAAGCCAAAATCTGACTGAAATAGAAGCTTGTCAGGAGGCATTTCAGCTAATAAGAAAGCTTGTAGAAGTTCTGACTGCCATCTGACAAGCTGCTTAAGCTCTGCTTATAAAGCTCTGCATCTTGGCAATGCCAATGCACTTAAAGGGAGAAAGAATCCCATCCCTGCAGGCAAGAAGCTAACTCCCTGTGTACACAAGTGCTTTGTCTTTAAATAGAGCAAAAGCAAGGTATTACTATGCAGGCTGCTGAAATCTCAGATTTCAAGCCTCAACACAGCATTCCCCTTTGGTTTGGTTATATAAAGCAGAAAAGCAATGCACATAGCTTAATTAACAACAAGTTCAGCATTGCAGAACGTATACATCTTCAGAGCAAGATGACAGTGGTGATCAATGCCCCCCTCCTGTCTTGAGATCCTCTGTCTGATAGCTTCAGGATAAACTCTGGTTTACTTTTACTACACCAATGATGATTGTTGTGTTAAGAATACAGATAGAAAAATCTCAACTGACAGTGCCCCAGGGCAAAAAAGGAAACAGTATAAGATATCTAAAAATTGTAGGAATGAGTCTTTTCCTCTGGAGAGTGTTCCAAGGCAGACTCCTGTCTTGTTCCCTCATATTGTACTAACGAGGATACTCCCAAAGCCATCCAAAGATACGTGTGGGTAGAGAATAAGAGCTCTGGCAAGATAAAAGAATGCCATCCTCTTACCATAGGGGCAGATAAAACCCACAGGAACATGTTTTTCCGCTACTCAATATCTCAGAAACGTACTGCATCCAAGTCAACACACTGACCAGAAACTCTGTTGCTCAGAGTACAATGCTATGATCTTTGATCTTCCTGCTACTGGACTAGATGGATGCAGATAAATCCTTGAGAAGCTTTGGCATGTCTGAACATCAGGAAGGCCCTGGGAGGCTTGATGTGAAAAAGTCTATACCAGCCCTGCAACATAATGAGTGGAATATGACAAAACCCTTTCAACATGCCATTAGCGGAAGGAAACACTTACTATAAATTCAGCCCTATGCTATGAGTGTGCAGTGTACCCACAGAGGGCCGGGAACTAGCAGGCAAGTTATAATAATGACATTGGGACTGTCGTTCTAGGTTTTCAACGCCTCAAAATGAAAGATGTGCTTCCTTTATGTCAGGTTCTTACACTGATGGGCACCTGACATGCGTGTGTGTTGTATATTCATGTAAGATCCTCAGCTTCCAGATCCATCCTGAAGACAAATGCTGTGTCACCCAGTACAGACCCAATTATACTTCAGCACAAAAAAAGTGTTGCTGTGAAGGGCTGAACAGGTGGACATAAGACATTCTTGAATTTTACAACAGAAAACACCACATTTCTTCATCTGACAACAGGACAAAAAAAAAAATCTTAGACTCAATGGAAGGAAAACATCTTCCAACCAGCAAGATCTGGATTCTGGCCAATCTTTGTGCTGGTATATCCTTGTATGTATGCATACATCTGTGTGTATGTATACCTATAGCTGATGTCCAGTGTGAGTGAGGAAGTAGCCAAAAAAAATAAGAAACTTCAGAGGAGAGCATTCAATGCATATCCTCAATCCTCACCTGAAGACAGCACAGAGAGGCATGTCAAGGCCTCAGAGCTTGATCATGAAGACTGGTCATTTGAAATGGAGGCCATTCAGCACATAACAGACCGATATAAAGGTACCAGAGGCAAAGGGGAGCTATCCTCCTTTTAACATTACTCCTGCTGCCTCTGAAATCCTTTAAAACATCCAATTTATTCTCGTTATCAAAAGCCATTTCTGAAATTCCAATCTGTTGCCGGTATTGCTGAACTATTTTCATACACTTCACTGCTTAATACATTTATAGTAGCATTGGAAGTATTCACTTAAGACTGAACTTACCAGATGGAATATTCTTGTCATCAATAATGAGATGGGCAAAAGGCTGCTTCTCAGGTTTGTTTCTCTTGTACAGGTCCATTCCTAATGCCTCCATTGCAGCTAGAGATAAAAGAATTGCATTACCTCAGAAAGACAAGTTTAGTAGAACTAAAATATTTTTTATTTATAAACCCAGCACCTACCTTTTTCTGGTCTTGGTGGTACTCTTCCCACGACACGCTGGACTTCCTAAAATGAGAAAGAGCCATTGCTTTGATGTTGTCCTGGTTTTGTAATATTGTGTATTGCAGGTAGTTTGCACAATTACAACACTCTGTGTGTATGTGTATGTGGGGGTTGCTCTACCTACAGTATATTCAGATGCCTGCAATATACATCATGTAAATATGAGAATATGTAATATGAACACACAGTTTAGCTGCCACAATAAAATTACTTCCTCTGTCCAATACATCTGATAAAGGTGGATAGGAATGATGCTGTGTATCATCACTGCACTATTTATTGAAGTAGGGGTGACAGGACATTTACTACCTTTCCTACTTATTGCACTTGGAATTTTTTGCTAAGTACAATGGAACAATGACTGCTAAGAATGCATCACATAAAACAGTGGAGTTTATGAACTGATGGAATTACTTGGGGTCAAAAGATAACAAAAGAGGCAGTTCTACATAGGAACTAGTGTGTAATCACACCAACAACTAAGGAAAGCTAAGCTCTGAATTCCATCTGCGATAAAGTAAATGAAAACCTCCACCCCTCACACTTGACCACTTACAGGGAAGGTTGCAAGACTACAAGGCTTTATAATCAAGGCTCACTTCTAACACGGTATGCAAGAACCAAAGGATTAAGGATCTTCCACATCTGTACTTGGTGCCAGAGTTTGGAAGTATGCATTCTCCAAAACTGCAGATGAATTTTAACATGAATGAAACCCATGTTACCCAAACCCAAGAACAGCACAAGTAACAGACATCAGGCACCACAAAAAGCCTTGCTTTTAATAATCCACACCTGTTTTCCTCTTGAGAAAACATACAAACAGCAGTTTTCAAAAATCTAAACAGCCTGTTCTTGTTACAAGCCTGGACTGAGTCTTAGTAATATTAGGTTCAATCCTTGGTTCTGTCCCGTGTTCCCCCATGACTCTCTTCATGTGTTTTCTAAAAAACAGGGGTAATATTCTACTTGTTATTCAGAATACCTGACACCATGGAGCCATCAAGAAGATGTTTAATAAAAGGAAACATTTTGCTGACGATAGCTAATCATATCTCATCTTCAAAACCTAAGAGCGGTGCTTTGTCTTGTCTTTATGTCACACATATTGCTGTTTGTCTGATTCAATACCATGTATATGCAATACACCTCAGATTTGGCCAGATCAGCAATATTCCACTGTGCTCTCAATCACTGCGGTATTTTAGAATTTGAAATCCTGCTTTGAAAACACCTGAAGTCCTGCTTTTATGTAATTTTGCAGCCACAGTGAAATTAGTAACGCCTTCGCTGGTGCATTTATTACTCTCACTTTCCCCTTTCAGTAGGTGTTTAAATGTTAACCCAAAATGAAAAGCCACAGCAGTATGGAAGTTGTAGTATGACTATCAAAGCATAATAGTTCAGCAGAGATATGCTGATTTTGTAGATAAGAATCATTAAGATGCTTTCTGCTGTAGAGACGAGAAGAAAAGCAGGAAGAACCGCAACTTCAAAAGAAGCAAAACTCATGTCCACCTCCCCCATTTAGATTCACTTCCCCTCTCTGATCTTCCTACTTCAATGTCAGTTCTAGGAGCATGAAAACGAAGCTCAGTTCTAGGAGCTGCACACCAGCATCAGCCTCTAGCCACACTCGAGCTCTTTAACTTCATCAGAAGTAGGAAGACAACAAAAAAAATTCCAAGTACTAGATACCGTGAAAAGTGGCAAAAGCCTCTGAAGAGAACATGACTTAAGGTAAAAGAGACTGGGAGATGGGCCACAGTCTGAGATTACTGCACCACACCTGTTCCCAACCCTTTCCCTAGAAACGGAAGACTCCTTTGTTTTCTTGCTTTCTTAATGGAAACTTCTCAGATGTGGAGTCTGCTTTCGTATCCTTTCCTTCTGGGGGATAACATCCTTGCCTGGAGAGCCTACTGGGCAAATCCAAAGAGAGCTATGTACATTTTAATCTCCTATTACCTAAACTGGTACTAAAAAAAAAAATCCCGTGGTTGGTAACTGCACAGCCCTTGAAGTCCCAGAACTGGCCAATTGCTATCCTCCTCTTAACCTACATTTTTCTTAGGAGTAGAGAGTTCTGCTTCTGCACATTTCCAAAGATGCTCTAGCTTGAGCAGCTGGGTACCTCACCTTCTGAGATCTAGCAGCCTGACTCAGCTCATCTTCCATGCAGTGGTCTTCATGAAATGCAGTCTGAGCGGCTTTCTTTCTAACTGTTGGTGGTGCTGTTCAACTGCAACATCACCACTTGGTAAGCAGAACAGCTACCCAGGAAGACTTGGGTCCACAACTCTCCTTGTCCTGATAGTCTTGTTTCCTGTTTCCTAGGAGCATCTCTGACAGGAACACTCTCCTGTACTCGAATGCAAGTGTCATTGCAACAAAAGGGAGATTATAAGCATGAGCCCAACACTAACACATTGAGAAGAGCTGAAGACTGGCTCATGTTCATTCAATCTTCTGTGTGCTTGTCACTGGATTAGAAGTGGCTAGCCTGTGGCTAGAAAACAGAAATCCTCCATCAGCTGAGTTCTCCAAACACTGCACAAGTGTCAAGTTCTTTACTTGATTCTGACCAGCCCCACAAAATTTTTATATTCCTTTCTGCTCCACTGCTTGGATTTCCAAAAGGAAGCTGAAATACATTAATTAGTCCCTAGATAACAGATGGAGCTGTGGGTTTCCTCCTGAAGAATAAGTAGTTCAACACTTCTCTTGATTTTTTTTTTTACTTCATGTTTCTACAGTTCCAAGGTGCTGATACACAACCTAGGAAAATATTTTAGCATATACTTGCTTCTGACCCTGAAGGACTCAAGGACCACATTTTTCAGTGGATGCCTGAAGATATCCAGATGTCTAAAAGACAGCCTCTTAGTGGGATTTATAAAAATCCCCTGGTATCCTTACAGCAAGGAATTAAGAGCTAGGATTTTCCAAATCCTTAAAGTATCAACTGCATTCTTTAGCACCTGAATGTCTCTAAGCATCTCATACCTAATCACAAGGTACAATACCATTAAGAAAGCAGAAACAGCTCAACAGAACCTATCGCTAAACACTGCTATAATGGTATGAGAACTGCTGACAAAATATTACCAGTGACTTCTCTTAAGACTGCCACCCACAGAACCACGTGTGCTACCAAGCTGTTAAGTTATTTTTAGAAAAACTGTACACGAAAATCACACCATTCTGTTAGTCTTACAATAAGTTGCACTTGGACACCTTTGTGTCATTTGCTCACTGCCCACCCAGTCAACTCTGCTGGTCTGCTTCCCACATTCCAACCTCCTTCATACAATCACTGTTTAAACAACAGACAAGCAGCCCTTGTCAACAAAAATGAAAAATGTGTCTTCCTTCATCCAAAAAAATTCAGAGGCCATTGCGAAGCTGCAAAACTTTCACATTTTAAAAGCTAAAATCATGCTTTCAGTGCCTAGAAAGTTGGGAACTGCTCTTTCCTCATCCACAGCAGGCTGCAGGTTTTAATCCTTAGCATCTCAGCATCTTCAAAACAAAAAGAACTCGTGCTCTTCAAGTTATGTCCAATGCTGAGGATGCAGACACAAGGCTACATTTGAACAAGTGACATTTGTTAACGGTTTTTCCTCTCCTTTGTTTTTTACAATATCTCAGTATCTACTTTGAGCAGCTCTAAGTAGCCTTTTGAGACCAATCAGAAGAGAACCCCTCTGGATATTCATGTATTGCTTCAGCTGTGATCTTAAAGTTCCTTTATGCAGTTGTTTCTTCTACTACCTGAGTGCTTTAAGTCCCGCTAACACCAGGAAGAAATATCTGATCATCTTGCCAGAAATTCAGCATTTGAAAAATGCTAATCAGGAAGGAAGTGAAATAGAAAGTATATGAACCAATATTCATCAGAAGATAGTTTAGAGATCAGCACTACAACCTTTATCCAAATGAGTAGTCTATTGCCTGCAGAAAAAAAAAAAGGCATATAAGGTTGTAGGATGGAAACTGAAATTTTAACAATTTACAGCAACCACTCGTGAAACCTTGACTTTGTCCATAACTACATGCACTTTAAATGTCTGCTAAGTATATAGATCTCTCTATAAGTGCTGCCCTGGAGGTCTAGCAAAGTACTCTGTTGCCATGTGGGAGACTAGTTTACGCCTGAACTCGCCAAGCTGCTAGAAGCTGGGAGTATTGCCAAGAAAAGTTACTTATGAATTGACCCAAGATATGTTTGTAGTCCTTTCTACTTCAGGCTCATAACAGACTTCATAAGAACTGTGGTTAGTGCATCTGGACTGCCAAAAGATTTTTAGGGTTACATGCAAAAAAAAAAATTAAGCAAACAGACTGGCTAGGAAAGTATATTATTTGTCTGCTTGAAGTTTATATGCAATATTGAAAATGTGCTTTCTACTCAGTAAGCTGCTCCCTAAGCAGTGTTTTTATCCTGGAATATGTTAAGGAATTCAACATTAGATTTTAATTAAAAGAAGATCTTTAATTATTATTTTTTCAGGAGACAAATGTTTCTAGACCCAACCTTGCAGCCTACTACATTGGTTTTCATAAGAGCACTTTCATTTTCAATGTCAATCCCTGCTTTAGATTTAAGCACTAGGTCTACAGGTGTGCAAAGAAAACAGATGAGAACCAGTGCAGTAAGCTAAAAGCCTTAACCAGACTACAAACCTAAGCAAAAGCAAGTTGTCTATTTTCATTTCCTGAACAGCTTGAATTGCAGAAGACAAAATATTGAAAAAAACACAAAACTTAAACGGCATTTTGAAGTGTTCCATTTCAGTCACTTAACATGCTGCCAATTGAAATAAGGATACTGGTTCTTAAAACACACAAAGATTAGATTCTCCTTCAGGAAAGTGAAGAAAGCACAGATGATAGGAAACCTCTTTCAAGTCACATTAGCTGCATTCCCACGCATAAAAGACCAACACAACTGGAAGTAAGATTCAGCTGCACCTCTGGCCTTCATTGTAGCAGAGCCAACGAAAGGCAGAGTTTACAGAACGCGAGAAAGTATAATTTTGCCTTAACACTGTTTCTTTCACTTCTCTGATATACCGAAAAGATGCAAATGTAGCCCCAGGCAAGCATTTTCCTATTTTTCTCTGACATCAATATACGATGACAAAGCATCCAGAACACTGACCCAGCTGCTTAATACATTCTGTTGCACTCAAAGGAAATTCAGAGCCTGATTACTTTGGCAAGGGAAATTTTATTGTTCTTAAACTAATGGCCATCAGCCAATGAAGTTATCCCTACTCACTACTTATCTTGGCCACGGACATTGCAGCATTTAACCTCCATCCAGAATGGCAGGATATGCAGCCTCAACTAAAGCCAATGCCTTTGTTGAGTAATCAGCAGCAAATGACCAGAATACAGGGCTTCCCATTCACTTACTGTAACAGGCTCCTTACTCTGTCATGGGAGCTGCATGAATGAGCAGTCTTGTACCAGCACACAGAACACAGAAGTAGGTGTAGTGTGAGACAGTCTATAAAATGCTGGAAGATAGGACTAATCCTACAGAATTAACCTTTTTTTTTTCCTTAAGCTTTTCAAGGAGGTGGCTAGCAAACGGAACAAACCATGAACTCCTAGGTTTCTTTAAGTTTTGTTCACAAAAAGATCCGTCACTCAGGGTACTCCATTAAAAGCAAGCATTAGCAGAATTAAAGTACCACATAATTAACTCAAGTACAATTCACTCCGTAAAGTGTACATGAGTTCAGCCCAAATCTAATGTAGCATCCTTTATGAAAAACTGACAGTCTTACGCAGATGTGAAGTAGTAATGGACATGCTAAGCCAGGAAAACCAAATACCATATCAGACATTCAGCTTTTAAATAGCCCATAATTAGCACTAAACACTATCATGAACACGCAAAGAGATCAAAGGCAGTAACTGCAGTAAGAGGTGATTGTGACATATATCCAGCTTGCCTAGGCTTCTTCATTAGGGCTGACTTCTTTAGCTGACTACTTTTGTTACTTGTGTTTGGGAACAAACTGTCATTCTCAAGCGCTGGGCAAACACTGCCTGCTTGTTGTGCTACAGCAAAGTAGCTCTTCTGCCAGTGTGGGAATGGTCTGCACAGAACAGAGAACTGGCAAAGTGCACAAAAAAAGGAAATACTGTCCCTCATTTTGGGTTGCAGAAAGAGTAAGAAACAAGAGCAAATGTTATCTCCTCTGACTTTCAGGCAATATTTTGCTTGTTGATGATGTTGACTTAAGAGAATCTTGTCAGAAACAGAGACAGGAATATTGCTTTGAAAAAAATGTGGAACTGTCCTTTCTTATGAACACCCAAAGCGTTGGCAAACCTATACAAATATTAGGATGAACGACTACCATTCAGGTCCATCCAAATGTCAGAATGGCCAATCAACTAACTGCAATCATAGTTTTCTCAGTGCAACTTCAAGTCTTCCTTTCTTAAGAAAAAGTGCCTGTATTCAGAATTGGTTAACCACTGCCAGGTTCATGAGCCAACACAATATGATCTTGGATGCAACTTCAGGTATTATTTGAACACCAGAAAATACTTTCTAGAACTTACCTCCAAATACAGATGTTGGAAAAAAATGTTTAAAGTTCAAGAGGAGCACAAAATAAAGGAAAACAGTCTGTCTGCCACTTACCTTCTGCACAGCTCTTTGGAGAGCCTGTTTCATGCTTCTACATGATTCTGGCATTAACTTCGCTTCTTGATTTTCAAAGGACGTATCATGCAAATCTGTATTTTCTTGATGTCCAAAAAGAGTTCTGACACAGTGCGCGTGTTCTTTTGAAACTCTGGTAGGGTCCATCTGAAACAAGAATATAAGCACAACCACAGTTTTAAGTGTCTGTCCAAGAGACATTAAGAGCTTTTAAGTCAGGGAGAATTTTCAACCATCTAAAAGTTTGGCACCTAGCTAAGTTTATTATCCAAATTTTCATTGTAAACAGTTAAGAGAGAAAAAGTTCCCCACATGGAGGTTTATTTCATCCAACAAGTGTGAGAGATAAGAGAATGAATTATCTTCCGGAGCTGCCTAGTTCGTTAGCTTAGACTGGATGTCTGACTTTCAAAAGTTAAAATTAAGTCCCACTCTTACAGTAAAATCAATAATCCTGAATTCCATTTTTTGACCACTCAGTGCAGTATCACATTTATTTTAGCAGGCAACATACACAGCCAGCCTATCTGTAAAAACTATATTTTGCAAGATGACACACAAATGCCAAGTAGAAGAACTTGGGGAAAGTATGTACAACATCTAGCACATCATGTGCAAGAGAAGAAACAGAAGGACAGAAGCCGGTTATCACTGAAACTATTTTGTGGGCAAGAGATATTGCTGCATGAAACAGTCACCAAGTAAGAAAGCACAAATTCAGAAAAACCAAAAGACAATAAAACTGAACCACAAAACACCTCTGCTTCATGGGACAAAGACTGGTAAATCTAGAATATCTGCAGGATATTTTTAGCAATCGGTCTTTGTGATTAAATCAAATATACTTTGTAAGTTTAAAATACTCCTGAATTCTACCAGCTAGATAAATTGGAAGGATATTCCAAGGATTAGGATTGTGCCTTGGCAGAGTTTAATTGCATAAACGCTACTTAAACCATTTCACCCTCTCTTCCCACGCTCCATATACTTTACACTCAAGAGATATTAACCACTGTCTTTCAGAGATGGCCTAAGACTCTCAGCAATTGTTCTCAACTGGTATTTATTCCGCCTTTACTTCAGGCTTGAAGAAGGGCTTGTGCATGCAAAACCTCATCTAAGTTCTCTAACTGTATCAGCTGGTCTAATAAAGAACATTTATTTCTATCTTTCTGCTTAGAAGGTGGAAGGAATAATTTTATCTGAGAATTACAAAACATTACATTATTTGTAATCACGATGAGGGAATGCCAAGACATTATGGGTAGTGCCTGACCAGTATTCAGTTTCCTTTATCATAGCACTGAACAAAACAGATCAAAGGAAGTTTTGCAGAATACAAAACAGTCAGAGTGAATTGAACATGCTATATCATTTGTTCACACAAACATAAATTCAACTCCCTAACCCCAAAAAAGAACCGAGTTAACTTAAAAGCATAAGGTTAGGATTACAGAGGTGAATTTAAGTCTGCACCAGGCAGGCAGCCATCCAACAGGCACACACTGCAGAGAAACATTTGTTGCACAGATGGCAACACCAAATGCTGCCTCATCCATCACCATCCTTCTGCTGAGGTCCCCAGATGAGAGCCGTTTGCCTGATTCATTCAGACCAATGTCAGCCCCTGTGACCTTGTTTGGCTGTCTCAGTTATCCCTGCAGATCTGGAATGAAACAGGTCAGAAAAGGTTCACCTGAAGATCAGAAGATGCCACAGCTTTGAGCAGAGGGGTAGAAAGGAGTTACAGAATGGCTTGGAGGCAGTAACAGCTTCCTGAGGTGGCCTGACACAGCTGAATCCAAAAGAAAATCTGTGTATAGCCATTACACCTCTATGAATTAAGCACTAAAAACTACCCTAATGACTTCTGAAGTCAGCTGGTGCAGCACAGCCCCATTAACTGTTTAAGCTGATCTAAACCAGCACCTCTGCTCTCACCTTCTTCACCACAAAATTTCATTCCTGGTTCTCAGTCTCCCCTTCTAAATCAATAACCTGTAAAGAATTTTTGCTGATCTAATTTCCTAAAGGATTAGCATCCCAAAATCAACTCACTTCAGGTATCAGACAAGCATTAGAGCCAGTACAGGGACAGGCATAGGAATGAAAGAGCAGGAAGGTGGCACTAGCTTTAATGAATGTAAAACTGTACCCTAAAAGCATCTCTCCCAGTATGTTCCACTAGTATCCAGAACTCAGAAAACCACCTGTAAGCTGAAAGGAAAAAATGAAGCACAAAATGTTTACCAACAGCTACTAAAAGGCAGTTAATACAGAATGACATGGGTTGGAATGTACCTCTGCAGGTCTCTAGTCCAGCCGCCTGCTTGAAGCAGGGCCAACGTATAACTTAGGTCGGCTTGGTCAAGGCCTTGTCTAGACAAGCTTTGTGGAATTTCCATCGACAGAGACTTTCAGCCTTTCTGAGCAAACTGTTCTACAATTTAACCACTTTTATTGTGTAAAAACGCTGGGTTTAATGTCCCGCTACAGTTGTTCTTGCTGGAATTTATGACTGTGCCTCTTGTCTTTGCTGGGCACTTCTGAAGAGCCTGGCTCCATCTTTAGGCAGCTAAAAATGCTGATTAGCTTCCCTCACCTTAGTCTGTTCTTCTTTAGGTTCAAAGAATCCAGTTCTCCATTTCTGATACACTATGGTCCCTACCTATTACAGTGGACTTCTGCTGGACTCTCTTCTGTGTGTTGATATGCCTCTGGTACTGAGGGACCCAAAACAGGACCCAATATTCCAGATGTAGCCTCTTCTGTTGGGATCGTAAGAGACCTGAGGGAATTAGGGTCTTCAACAGGATCTGGATGTCTCTTCCCCTCTCCACACACACCACAGGATAGAAGATAGAAAGCCACAGCAAATAACTGTCAGTATCTGCTAATTTTTATCAGTAATTCTACTAATGAGAGACTATTACCCCAGTTTTGGATTTATGTAAACACATCTTCTGAAAAGTAGACAAGAAAACTAGGTTCTACAACACAAAGATCATGAAATTTGTAAAGGCCTGAGTGTCCAGCATGACAAATCACACGTAGCGTAGACTTACAGCTATCACCCATCAGCAATCAGTCAAATGAGTCACACAACACTGTGCTAGAACAGTAACAGCAGATTTTACAGAAGCACTTACTCAGATTATAGTTTATCTGCTGAAGGCTTAAGACAGAAAACCAGCGTCTCTGCACCTACAGTTAAAAGATTGAAAGCTTAATGGAAACACTGTAACTGATAGCTTCAGCAAGGTAAAGCTGTGCACCCCATCCTGACAAACTGCAAGTCTCTAGAGATTTAGTGTTTGATAAGGTGAAGCTCTGATCTTGGGACTAGCTAACCTACCTGATTGCCCTTACCTTTTTCAAAGAATACCTAGTCTGCACCACATTTAACCATGGAAATTAGCTCACTTGTCTGAAAAGGCATTCTCAGAAATCCTGCACCTTGCATCTTTATAAAGAACATGTACTGCACTGCCATGCCTGTAAACCGGTATTACTGAGCACTGAGACCGAAACTGTGGGCAAAAAGTGATGCGCAGAAAAACTTTGCAGTGTTTTGAGAAGAACTTCTCAAGAATCAGACAAAATACCAGAATGGTCTATGGAAATCAGCTTGCTACCTTGCAAGGCACAGAAGGTGAGCCTTTGAATAAACGGAGACCTTCAGCATGAAGTCCTAAATATTTTATACCTGGAAGAAACATCAAGATGCAACCAAAAATATTGGAGAAAGCTTTATAACTCATGAAGTAAGCTAAATACCCTAGAGGAATTAACCTATTTAAATAGAGGAGTGTCTAGCTTATTTTTCCTATGTTACTGTTGTCTCTACATCCATTGTGTCTGACCTTGGAATCAGATCAAATCCTTCGATGCCCCTTGATTTTCAGCATCTCTAATCATTTAGTTGCATCTCTGGACTCCTTTCACCTAAATCAGGGCAGCCAAAATGAACTCCAGCATTGTGGGCGAGACCAGATGAATTTACAGAATTAAGAACCAGTTTTCCGATGTTAAAAAGATTAATTTTGATTTTAAAAGATACAATACATTCCAGACAACTTTACCTATTGAACGTTGCCTCAATTATGCAATGTTACAGTATCATGTTCTGTACTTACTCCTTACAATAAATGTTTACCATTTCTACTGGTACTTATTTTCAAACTTAAACCAACTTCCAGATTATCAAATATCACTTTGCACTCCATGACCTTTCTTAACCACCAAGAAGGGCTTCTTCCAGGCTTCCAGAAAGTGCTAATGACCCCCAGCAAGCTGTTTTCTGTTAGCCACTACTCTAGCATGCTCACAGAACTTTAGATGAAGTCTGAAAGGCGATTGTTTAAAAACATACTTTCATTTAAGTCAGTTACACAGATGCATGAAATGACAATAAAAATCTGCCTCCCAGGTCTCCATTTATCCAAGTCTGAATTCTTCAGCATGGCAGAACACTTAACATTTGTACAGACTTTTTTTTTAATGGGAAAAATGGATAAGCTTGGAGTTCCAGGTTAAACTATGGGATATCCAGCCACCACACGTGGATCTGAGCACTTACAGCTTGTTCCACTGCCGTCCAGTTCAGTCAGTGTTAGACCAAATTCCTACTCTTTTATGATCTAAGCACACTAAGGAAATGGGCCAGAAAGAAAAGTTTAAAAGCAAAGCTTTTGGAGACTATACTTTAACTTTTACCAGTGAAAGTTAAATAAAATACTTTGCGCTCTCACCTTGTGCTGTGCGTGAGTCTCTATTACACGATGATCTCCAGCTGCTCCGAGTATCTGACTAAATTTTCATGGCATTTTCATTGATCATGAGCAAATATTCCTCATGAAGTATAATCAAATTCTTAGGACCAAAACATTTTGTTAGTGTTTAATTTCTTGGATTCAGTACGTTGCATAAGATGGTCCAAAAAGAAAAGCCAGAATATCTTAATGTTTTTACATTTCAGAACACTGTTACCAGAATATTGGTAAAATTCAATTCTTAGCTTTTTCTTTCTTTTTAGATATACCAGCTCATTGTCTCATTCGCATTGCGCTGCATTATTTGTTGGCCACAAACATGTGTTTACCCGTGAAAATCTAGTGTCAGTCTTAGTTATGTGTCTTGTGAAATTCCAAATGCTCAAGCCACAAAGTAAACAAAACTAAGGAAAATTCAAAACCTCAACTATTGTCTCAGCTCATATTGTATCATGATCCAGCCCAGAATTATGCAAATACAGATAAAATGTGTATGGTAAAACTGAGTCAGAGTTTACTCAGCCTCTTAGGCAGACTTTTAAAGAGCTTGTAAAACATATAATTTCTTAATATCAACCTATACAGTCAAATCTTGCTAATTCACATTTGGTTAACTCACCAACCAAACAATTCAAATCTTTTGATGCATAGCTTCTACTATTAACTTCTCATTATTTTAATAAAATACACCACAATACTTAAATTCTGTTATTAAAGTACAAATTTAGATAGCTGAAATTTGTACTGAAAAGTACAAACTGAGATAGCTTAATACAACTAAATTTGACAGCAGTCTTTTGAAAAGAAAGAGGTCAGATCGCGTCCCATATAAATAAAGCAATCTGCAAGACAGTTAAATAAGACTTAACTTCTGCAGGACCTACTATAGCTTTCCCATCTATCTAATTTCACAATAAGAAATTGGTAAACAAATATGGATTACCATATCTTATTATTGTGAATTATGTACTTACTTCAAAAGTACACTTATTCTATTTTTCAGTGATGGCAAAGACGACATTTTCTCCATTAGAAATTTTTCAGGCAATGACTTCAGTCAAGTCTACATTTAGCTACATCATCTCTTTTAGATGTTTCAGAAGTTCAAGTTCACAAAGGACTCCATCCAACAGCATTACTCCAAATCTACAGGAACAAGAAACTGGCAAGAGAATTAAGCTGCCACATGCAGAATTACACACGGACTATGTAATTTTTTAAATCAAGGAAGCAGAAGAAAAATAGTCATTATGGTAAGAAAGCTCTTTTTACCCTTTGTTAGGCATGTGTGAAGCACTGACATGAACCTACCAGAAAGAGTCCTTAATAAGGGGTGGGGGGAAGGTAAAGATAATGGAAACACAGGGTTTTCAAAAAGTATACTTTGATTAGTTGTTTTGATTGCAACGGCTCTCTAGCCTACTAATCAATGGATAGCCGTGCGTTTCTATGAGCTATGTTTTGACAAAGACGTCTTTTCAAGTTCATGCAGATCTGGAGTAAAAAACATTTCTCTGCCACAAGCTGAAGTAGGCATTAATTTATTTCACTGTTGAAGCAAACAAGTAGCTTTAAGCTACTTTACAATGAGTCCCAGAAATTAAATGTCACTCTTCTGAAGCATACAGGATATGATTAACTAAGTACCGTATTGCTGTTCCATTTTATTTTTGTAAAAATGGCAAACGCGAAGCCATTGTCATAAGACAACATGAATTGGTCTGCATAATACATGATCAGCAGTGTTACTGTATATTTGATAGTCATTCATCTGTTTAAGTGGCTATACATTTGTACAGTGTCTGGTTTCGGTGTGCACTTTGTTAAGAAATCCAGTCGCTACATCAAGATAAGCGCATCTACCTAGAAAGTAAACCGAAAGAAACTGGTTTCCACTCCCCACTGACTTCAAAGGAAAAGTAAACACAACAGAAGTACCACTTCCATGAAGGCAGCGAGACCCATATTAACAGAATTAATTAGCATCTGATGAAAGAGCCAAGCAGAAAGCTAACACCTAGCCCCAAGAAGCAACCAGTCGGCAGCCCCCACTTCCTCTGAGAGGGCTCAGCCGTGCGGGGTAAGAGACGCAGCAGCGAGTGAATCCAGCCAGCCAGCAGAGCCGTTTCCAAGAAGCGGGCTCCTCTTCTCTCCGAAAGCCTAACCGCTCATCACCTCATCTCCCCCACAGCGATA